CTGGCCCCTAATTTGTTATAATCAGGTGAAACTCATTTACTTACTGTTTCAACCAAATATGAATCAGGGATCCACTGTTTTCCAGACACTGTGCTGGACAGTATGCTAGGCTCAGAATAAAATAAACCAGAAACAGTTACCCTCTGGTGAGGGTAACAGCTATTAAACTAGAAACAAAAGTAGTTTCAGATTATGGCATCACAAATTGGTGAAAACCATTTCCAAGGAGAGCGAATAACAGAGGAAGCCTACTTTAGATTTGGTGATAGGTCCAGACTCTCAGTGGCCTGAAGAATGCAAAGGTGCAAGCCACAGGACAGGAGACACATGGGGTGGAGGTGTGTTTCAGGTAGAAGTAACATGTTCGGGGATAGCAGAACTTCTGTTTCTTTCTTACATAAGAAATAACTTAATGTTGACCAATGTTTAACATAAAGATTGACATGGATGCTCTGCCTCTCATGTCAAACACTCAAGTGTTCTATGAGAAGAAAGGGAATTCCACAACTCAGAAGGGTTGGCCTGAACTTAAAAGTTTGTAGTACCATTTATAAATAATTTTAATTTAAAAATATTTCAGGGCCAGGTGCAGCAGCTCACACCGATAATCACAGCACTTTGAGAAGCTGAGGCGGGAGGACAGCTTGAGCCCAGGGATTTGAGACTAGCCTGGGCAACAGAGTGAGACTTTGTCTCTACTTATAAAAAAAAAAAAAAAAAAGAAAAGAAAACTAAAATGAAAATATTTCATATTGATCTTATCCTTTTAAATTTATATTTCAGAATGTTTTATAACATAGGTACAAATTAGTACAACAGAACATGTTTCTAATTTGTTTATATAAATATATATATAAATCTGTATCTATCCATCTATCAATTGGTCAACTGCTCTTTCTTTCTACCTACCTACATACTCATCCATGCATCCATGCATCCACCCACCACCCCAACACACACACAGGGTGGAAGAGCTTTGCCTACAATTTCTTTATTAATGGGTAGACTATCAAAACATGTTGGAAGTTTTGCCTTAGAGTATGAATACACTCCTCACTTATGCCAAAAAGCCTTGTTTCATCAACACTACCCCTGTTGTATTTCACTGCCAACATAGCTGGGGCTGTGTCTAGACCAGTGATTTCCAAATTTGGCTGTGCATCAACATGACCTGGGAGCTGTATTAAAATCAGGTTCTTATAGGTGGGACATGGAAGATTTTTAGGGCTGTGAAAATATTATTTATTATACTATAATGGTGGATACGTGTTATTATATATGTAGAATTCCTAGAGAATGTACAACACCAAGACTGAACCCTAATGTGAACATGGATTCTTGGTGATAATAACATGTCAATGTAGATTCATTGATTGTAACCAATATACCACTCTGTGGGGGACCTTGATAATGGAGGAGGCTATGCATGTGTGAGGCTAAGGGGTATGTGCAAAATCTCCATACCTTCCACTCAATTTTGCTGTGAACCTTAAACTGCTCTAAAAGACTAGTCTTAAAAAAAATCAGATTCCTGGGCTTTATTCCTGGCAGATTCTTATTTGGCCTCAGATGGGGCTTTGAAAGCTGTAATTTTAAAGACAATTAAATTGCTCAATGCAATAAGCTATGCAGTGCCTCCTTAAATTGCTCAATACACTGGAAGATTTGGGAACCACTGGGTAAAATATGTAGGAATGTGTTTTGTGGTCCAGGTACCTATATTTTGAAATGTATATTTATCTGAGTCACCTGTATATTTTTCTCTTTCTCTTCACATCCAAACACATTCCTTAAAGACAGGGGAAGCAAGCCTTCCTCACTCCTAGTAAATATTTTGCTTTGTGTACCATTATCCAGACTATAGGTACTATTTGGTGACGTTGAAAATATTTCTTTAAAAAAGGGTATTATGGTTTTTAAAGTACTAAAGTGATATGAGAAATAACAGATGAACACTAATCTAAAATACCCAAGCACTAAATATGTGCAGAGTAATTAAATATCTCTGACCTGGAACCAGGATGGTAATGGCTGTCTGCACCGCCTTCCGGATGATACTGTCTAAGGCAAACATCCAGTGCGGCTTGATGTTATGATTCCGAAGAACTTTATTGACCTGGAGAGAGAGTGACATTTAGCCTACTTTAATTTTTAATTGCAAATAGCCTAGCTGATCCAAGCAGTTGGATGAAGTTCCATTTACAAAAAAAAAAAAAAACTAAAAAGTTTCTTCACCTTGAATTCTTTGTAATTCTTTATGTCATTGGAAAATAAAGTAAAAATTGCTACTTCAAATCAAAGTTCAGTGAGCCCCATGTAAGCAAATAAGTTATTTAAGTGAAAGGCAGTCTGGTTCAAATGAGAATGTTGCTTCTTTGGGACTCAGAATCTGCAGTTTTTAGCTTTTATGATGTCTACAGAATGGATGGAGGGAGGGGGTGAAGGAGGAAGACAGGGTCTAAGAGACTTTAAATAAAAATAAAGGCTGTTCTTACTGTTCATTATTTTCAGTTATTTATTATTATTATTTTTTTTCGTTTGCTTTGGAGACAGGGTCTTCCTCTGTCACCCAGGGTGGAGTGCAGTGGCGGGATCATGGCTCACTGCAACCTCTGCCTCTGGGGCTCAAGCAATCCTCCTGCCTCAGCCTCCCAAAGTGCTGGCATTGCAGACAGGAGCCACCGTGCCTGGCCATCTTAGGCATTTTTAAGTATACGGTTCAGTGGCATTAAGTACATTCACATTATTGTACTACCATCACTGCCATCCATCCACAGAATTCTTTATCTTGCAAAACTAAAACTCTATACGCATTAAACAGTACGTTCCCGTTTCTCCCTCCCCACAGTCCCTGCAAACAAGCATTTTACTTTCTGTCTCTTATAAATTTCACTACTATAGGTACCTTCATATAAGTGGAATTACAGTATTTGGCCTTTTGTGAATGGTTTATTTCACTTGGCTTCATCTCTAAGCTTCATTCATGTTGTAGCATGTGTCAGAATTTCTTGCCTTTTTAAGCTTGAATAATATTCCATTGTATGTATTTGTCATGTGTATTATCTTTCTAAAAACAAGGTTTTAGCGTAAGACTAAGACAAGCTCACTTAAAGTTTGGGTTAACTCTACCACCTGTTGGCTCACACAGACCTCTAAAAAAAATAGGCTATTTCCCCAACAGGGCTCTGGTTAGATACCTCTAAGTGCCTATAGTATGATTATGGAAGTATAATTTTATTTAAATTCCAAAAATTTAATCACCATCCCTACTGCGGCTGGGGAGATGGTGACCTAGTCACAAACCCATGCCAAGAGCTGGAGCTCCAGTTGCTCATGCCTGTCCTTGGTCCATCTTCATCAAAATCCCCTATTTTGGAAGAGAGTCAGTTTGAGAACTTCCTTGTAGTAGTTGCACAGGAAGTGAACCCTTGCTAGGTTCCCACTTGTTCTTGAAAATCCATCTAGGCTGAGTTTGTCCTGGTATCTTCATTTCTTTAAATAATTTACATGCTGGCTGGACACAGTGGCTCATGCCCTGTAATCCCAGCACTTTGGGAGTCCAAGGCGGGCAGATCACCTGAGGCCAGAGTTCAAGACCAGCCTGGCCAACATGGCAAAACCCAATCTCTACTAAAAAATACAAAACATAGCTGGGCATGGTGGCAGGCGCCTGTAGTCCCAGCTACTCTGGAGGCTGAGGGACAAGAATTGCTTGAACCCGGGAGGCAGATGCTGCAGTGAGCTGAGATCATGCCACTGCACTCCAGCCTAGGCAATAGAGGGAGACTCCATCTCAAAAGAAAAGAATTTACATTCTTATTAGGTGGAAGAGGGATCTGTTATAACCATGACCTGCTCCTTTCAGCTCTTTATTACATAGCAAATTACATCATAGGGCCCATACTTTGGGTTCATTCTCATCCTGGACAGTGAATGAGTAAGAGCAGGTGTGTGTGTGTGTGTGTGTGTACATGTGTGTGTGTCTGTCTGACCAAGGCCCAGGAGTACAACCCAATAGGTCTCAGTCTGAATTCTACAGCAAACTTGCTTTCCAACCTCTAGGCTAGAAGCCAAATGTGTGGGCAAGTGCAAATTAGCGAAATTATTTCACTCTATTTGCAGGCAGTTGGGTTTCCCTAGTTGCAGCATAAGCATGCTTTTAGCATTTAATATTAGTGATAGGCTTTGCCAGTTGCTTTAATTTCTTATGCCCTCAATCAAGTCAGGACTCTTGTCCCTGTCCACAATATAGCATAAAGACCAAGTGGCTTATGCCGTGTCTCAGAGAATGCTAGTGGTTATTGAAGGATTCTGATTTGGCTTTAAATTGGGGATCATTTGATGTTGCATATAAAATTGTCAAGATACTTTCTACATAGAAGCAATGCACTCATTAGGGCTGAATTAATTTTTGGAATTTAAATAAAATTATACTTCCAGA